ATTTTCAAAATCACCACTTATCCTATTGGTACAATAGTACATTTTTAAGACTTCTCATAATATCAGTACATTTGGCATCTATTTTTAAATTTAATTTTTTATTTGTCTTTTTTTTTCTTCTTTCCAATTTCACTTTTTTTTTGTTTTAATTTTTATAACACCAATTTATTCTCAAAATCAACACTTATCATATTGGTACAATAGTACATTTTTAAGACTTCTCATAATATCAGTACATTTGGCATCTATTTTTAAATTTAATTTTTTTCCTCATTTTTCTATCTTACATAATATTTTAATATCTCCATAAAATACATTTCTAATCTTTTCTAATTTGTCCTTTTTTTTTTCTTCTTTCCAATTTCACTTTTTTTTTTGTTTTAATTTTTATAACACCAATTTATTCTCACATGTTACAACTCCAAGTTGGAGTATTTTTTTTTTTTTCCAGCAAAAACAAACTTTCATTGATTTAAAAGAGTTATTACAAAGACAGTTACAGAATTACTAGAACACAATTATTACATACGCAAATGTATGTGCCATACACTGAGAAAAATACAGCAGAAGGGAGATTGACGATGCTTTCCGAAGAGTAGTCTTACTCGCTAACCGATCATAAGATCCGTTATTGTCCAACTTCATATTTGATTTCTCTCTGTTACGATTAGCATGCAACAACTTGTGGCTGAACTTTCTTTTTGCAAATCGTAGCTTTAAACCCGATGTGTCCATAAATAACTCTGAAATGTAATTGGAGTATTTATTTACAATTTTTATTACACAATACATTTAATGTATTTATATAGTATAATATAATTTACAGTAATTATTAAATTTAATATGTCATCCCATATATTGTTTTATAAATGTCTCAGTAAATGAAATTCTAACTTATGTAACAGTCAATGTAATTTTAATAAAGAAATATAGTAACATGCATTATATTAATGTATTGCTCCATGTGTTACGCCTTTTCTCAAAATAAATGTTTGTGAAGAGTTTTCTTCTCCAGTAACGCTTTTCATGTGGCTTCTAATACCGAAATATATTAGTGTTTTTTTTTTGTTCTAGAATTAGTTACCCAAAGTAAAACCCACAAATGAACTTATTAAAACATATGTAACGTCAAACAACTCTAAATTGATGCATTAGGCTGACAGATAACCACAATAACTCCAATTAATTAAAAACATTAAATCCAATTAATTCTTGTATATATTACCCACATGTGAAGCTAAAAAAACTCTTGTAGAGTTTTTCTTTTTCCAGTCCGTTCTTTTATTTTTATTGACTTTTAGTTGCTTTCTCTTTATTTCAGGCTATCATCCACATAATAAAAATATCTACAAAAGTTTTCTCATTTGGTGTTCAAGTTAATTAGGTTTGTGATTTCATATGGTGTTCAAGTTAGATTCACCAACACCATTAGTTCTACATAAAAGTGTTCTATTTTTAAGTTCTATTTTTAATTGTTTCTCTATTTTTCAACTCACCAATAAGATTTATATACATACATTGAGAAATTTATATCTATTATTATGGTCAGTTAAAGTGTAATTATAAATTTAAGTATTTAGATAAATGGCAGTACATTATATTTATTAAATTTTTTTACTCTTATGATCTATATGTATTCATAAATTTGAAAACTATAAGTTTGTTAAAAAAGTTATGATATAAATTGAAAAACCATTTATGTAATTATTCTCAACATCACTTATCAAAAAGTTAAGAGTTTGTTTTTTTTTTTTTTTTAATACGTAAAGTTGTTTCAAGATGATTTTGTTCTTGAATACGTAAAACTAATGGGACCATGAGTCAAAAAAAAAAATCAAATAGTTAATGCCATTCTTTATTTCTTTTACATAATTACTCTACGTTTCAGAGGGATCGACGTTTGAGTTTCGTATATCTCGAGTAAATAGTTTTCTGATTTTTAATATTGTATAACATTTGACTTGATTATGTTTTGAATTCAATTTTTTTTAGTTAATCATACAAATTAAGTAAGAAATAAAGATCATATGAAAAAATATAAAATTTGTATTTATTTTTATCAAAGTTTCCATAAAACCAACCCAATGAAATTCAACCAAAAATTTTAAAAAGTTCCACCAAAGGTTTTTTTTTTTATCTATCATCATGGGATTTTTGAAAAGAATTATGTTTGATAAGGGTAATTGCATAGAATATCATAATTAACATATTCAGTTAAAATCTAACATGTCATTAAAGTATTTAGGTAAACGGCATTACATTATATTTATTAAAGTTTTGTTCTCTTATGACCTATATATATATTAAAACTGAACTAAATTTTTCTAATATAAACTTTCAAAAATAAAAATTTTATTATATCATCTGAAATCATTTTCCTAAATTAAATATGATTATAATTAAGTCTAACATATATATTTTTTTTTTGTGCAAAGGCTGATTCAATTTAACTTAGGTTTGGGCCAGGTCCATTACAAGAGAAACCAGAGAATGTTTGGCCAATGAATCGGCATCAGAGTTCTGCAAACGGGGAATGAAACTAAACAAAATAACATCAAAGGTATAAGATAAATTCAGGATATCGAAGAGAATCCCATGAAGCTCCGATTTTAAAGCTTTGACTAGCTGTGCTAAGTCAGAAGCGAGAAAGAGATGTGAAAAACCCAGATTAACATATATAAAATATGTTTTTGCTCATTTGGACCACCTTGCTATTTTATTAAATTTAATCATTATCACAAATTATTTAAATTTCTCTTTAATTTTTAACATATATAGATAAAACTAAGCAAAAAAATTAATAAATATGAATATATTTTACCTTTGATATCCTAATTTTATTATGGATTATATGGATATAATATGTAAAGCTTATTGTCGAGGGAAAGTCATGAGATTGGGAAGATCTACCTTCTGATGAGATCCAAGGAGGGAAAACGGCCGATATCAACCCCAATTATCAACTCGAACCCACATAAATTTTAAATAACAAACCTGAACTATGTAATCGTTAGCCAATTCTAACATATACCTGTTATTAAATAATGTAACAAACCTGAATTAATTAACCTTTAGCCAATTGAATAAAATGAATGATTCAGATACCAAAGAACAGATAATTACGACTTTACAATTCTAATCGACATTAACAAATACAAAAAAAAAAACTATGTTGAAATTGGATAACAGTCAGATAGTTTAGGTTTGTTTTTTAAAAATAGTCTGAGTTCGGGTTGATAAGTGTTGGGGGCAGAGTTTGGGTTGAAAAAAGCTGCAGAAAAATAGTTGGAGTTGATTTTGGCCGTTTTTCCGATCCAAGGATCGTGAATCAACAAACAAGAGACTCTATGATGAGGTATGATATATATATTTCCAGAATCAAATATTTTATGTAAATTAAGAAAAAGTAGTGGCGTATATTTATGTCATACCACCATGAATAAAAAAAGAACAAAATTTATTTTTGAGCAATTCACAAAAGTACTTCGAAAAGGAATATAAAAGTTAATATTTTAAAAAATTCTTTTCAAAAAACTATATTAATAATCGAACATATTACTTTAATACAAAATTTATTTTTTATTCAGAATTAATATTAAATATGTAACCCACGCATCGCGTGGGCAGCTTTCTAGTGCAATATACGTTAGAGTTTATATGTGTTTGCTTGGTTTCTTACAAAAGAGGTTGACAATGTTGGGTTTGTGTCCTACTCTTGTCTTGATGCCAGTTGTCTAAATGGAAAAATAACAAAAGTAAAAAATAAAGAAATAGGAAAAGGACAAAAAATAGAGAAGCAACCAGTAAGAAACTAATAATTGCGAAAAAAAAAGAAAATAAAAAAGAGAAACTAATAATTGAAGAAGAAAAAGAGTAATAATTATGAAAATATTGAAAGTAACCCATGTGGTGTTTTTGCACACGTGCAACTCTCTCACTCTCTTATTTTGTCTTAATGAGTTAAAATTAGTTTTAAGTATGTACAGTATATAACTAACTAATGACTCACTATTTAAATACTTATACATCACCAAACACATACAATTTTTAAGACTTGAATTCAGATAGATACACATCGACAATCATTAATGCAAATCACTATAACACAATACATATATGGTTCAACTTCTGCATATATTTATGTTAAATATTTTCTTATTTAGATACTTTTAAAAATATTAGATACTTTTTAAATATGTATCTCCAAAAATTATACTGACAATATATTTGACTATCTTAAATAAAAATATATACAAAGCCTGCAAAAAAAAAATTGTCTAAATTTTTGACTGCAAATTATGGTCTTATTGTGTACTTAATTACATTTTTATTCACATTAGCATATTTATTTTTAAAATATAGAATAGTTAGTACATGTCGCTGGAAGAAATATAGGATAGTAAACAAAAATGATGTGATTATAAATCTTTATAAGTTTGAAAGCTTAATCAGCTTTAAAGTATAATAATCTTTAAACAATATTCTTTTTTTGGGCAAATCACAAAAAATCACTATATTTTTACAAAAATATATATGTATGAACCTAATGAAACAAAAATAACTATTTTCATTATAATAAAATTAAAGAAATTCGATACTTTTCAATTTACATTACTCTCATAATCTTTTTGAACTCGTGAATTAATTGTGTTTAAATTTAATCGTTATTAAGATATCTCACATTTAAAATTTCGTACCAAAAAAACATCAAACAACATAAATTTAGCAAACTCGGTGGCATAAACGTTGGGAGAAGAATCTTCAAATTTTTGGTTATTTATGGAAACAAAAGTATTAAATTACGATTATACTACTACACTGTTTTAGCTTCAAAAAAAAAATCAAGATTATTATAAGAACATAAATACGAGAGAGAGTACACAATTTGTTTCACATTTTTTCTAAATTCCAAACAAATTATTTATAGAGACACCAATCTTCTTCTTTTTCTTCTTCTCTGACAAAGTTATGGGCGAACAACAAATCTCAGCTACAGTGCCTCGTGATAGAACTGATGAACAGGTTTTGATTAATGCCACTCAAATTTTTTGTTTCTCCTCTGCTTTCTCTGTTTACAGATTCTTGTTTCACACTCTGTTTTGCTCTGTTTTTGGTTATAAAAAATCAAGAAATTGATACATTTCTTGAAATTTTCCAGTTTTAACCTCGACAGAGATTACTGTTCACTGTCTGTGTAACTGTGTTCATTTCATTACCACTTCTCTCACCTTCAAACATTGTTGTGTGTTTTGTTCTTTTCCTCAAATGAAATCTCTGTTCTCAGGTTTCTTGAACAGATTAGAATCACTCTGTTCATAGTTGGTTTAAAATGGTTTAGAGATCTGTTACAGAATTTAAGATCTTTCTGGGTTTTGAGATGATTATTGATCGTCTTTTGTTGTAGGCAATCTTGGCTTTGAAGAAAGGTGCTCAGCTTCTGAAATGTCGAAGAAGAGGAAACCCAAAGTTTTGTCCTTTCAAACTCTCAATGGTAAGTTTCTTTTGATCTTTCAATCATTCAGCATTAAAGGGTTTTGGTAAAGTTGTGTTCTTTTGGTCTTTTGAAGGATGAGAAGTACTTGATTTGGTACTCAGGAGAAGAAGAGAGACAATTGAGATTGAGTTCGGTTATAACGATTGTTCGAGGACAAATCACGGTATGTAGATGAAACTTTTTGTTATCTAAATAGTTTCCAGATTGAAGAAGTGGATGATGAAATGTTTTTCATTTTGTTCATAGCCAAACTTTCAGAAACAAGCGCAATCGGATCGAAAGGAACAGTCTTTTTCACTCATTTATGCAAATGGAGAACATACTCTTGATCTTGTAAGTTTTGGTATTATGTTTAACAAATTCAGTTTCAAGATTAGGACTTCTTATGAATGTTTTGTTGGTTATGTAGATATGCAAGGATAAAACACAAGCAGACTCATGGTTTAAAGGTCTTAGAGCTGTGATAACAAAGCACCATAACATTAGGAACTCTGCGAATCTTCGGACTAGTAGAGGAGCTCAAAGTTGCATCAATAGTCCTGCGGGTTTTATGCGCAGGAAACAGAATCTTGGACTTCTTGAAGAGACTCCTGACTTCACTCAGGTAAACTAAAAAACTCTTAACCATTTATATTGTTTTCGATTTCTTGATGTATCTTGTTATGTTCTTGAAGATACGAAGTTTATGTGGAAGTCCATCGACGTTACTTGAAGAGCGGTGTTTGTCGAACGGGTTGTCATGTTCTTCAGACAGTTTTGCTGAATCTGATGCTTTGGGTCCAGTTTCTTCTTACTATGAAACAGATTATGATTTCAGGAACTCGGATTGTGACCGTACAGGTTCAGAACTTTGCAGGTTTTCATCACAAAGATTTGCTGCTTCTCCTCCTCCTTCTATCATTACTCAGCCGATTACAAGATCCAATGTCCTCAAGGATATAATGATATGGGGAGCTATAACGGGTCTTATCGATGGATCAAAGAATCAGAACGATGCGTTATCTCCTAAGCTTTTAGAATCTGCCACAATGTTTGATGTACAGAGTATATCTTTAGGTGCAAAACACGCCGCGCTGGTTACTAGACAAGGTGAAGTGTTTTGTTGGGGAAATGGAAACAGTGGTAAGCTTGGACTTAAAGTTAACATCGACATCGACCATCCGAAACGCGTTGAATCACTGGAGGATGTTGCGGTTCGATCAGTGGCTTGTAGTGATCATCAAACATGTGCTGTCACGGAATCCGGAGAGCTGTATTTATGGGGAATCGACGGTGGAACCATTGAACAATCAGGAAGCCAATTCTTGACTCGAAAAATATCCGATGTTCTTGGCGGATCTCTGAGTGTTTTTAGTGTTGCTTGTGGCGCGTGGCATACGGCAATTGTGACTAGTTCTGGTCAGCTTTTCACATATGGTAGTGGAACGTTTGGAGTTCTTGGACATGGGAGCCTTGAGAGTGTTACAAAGCCGAAAGAAGTGGAGTCTTTGAGACGAATGAAGGTAATATCCGTCTCTTGTGGACCGTGGCACACAGCTGCTATAGTGGAAACCGCGATCGACCGGAAATTTTACAATGCCAAGAGTTGCGGAAAGCTGTTTACTTGGGGAGATGGCGATAAAGGACGGTTAGGACATGCGGATAGCAAGAGAAAGCTCGTGCCAACATGTGTTACCGAGCTCATTGATCATGATTTCATAAAAGTCTCTTGTGGATGGACTTTAACTGTTGCACTCAGCGTTTCAGGAACGGTTTATACAATGGGAAGCTCGATCCACGGGCAGTTGGGATGTCCGCGGGCAAAGGATAAGTCGATAAATGTTGTGTTAGGCAATCTAACACGACAATTTGTCAAGGATATTGCTTCGGGTTCACATCACGTAGCCGTGCTAACTTCATTTGGAAATGTTTATACTTGGGGAAAAGGCACGAATGGACAACTCGGATTAGGCGATGTTAGAGATAGAAACTCGCCGGTTCTCGTTGAGCCTTTAGGTGATAGGTTGGTAGAAAGTATAGCTTGCGGGTTGAATTTGACGGCTGCGATCTGTTTGCACAAAGAGATCTCTTTGACTGATCAAACCGCTTGCAGTTCTTGCAAATCAGCTTTTGGATTCACTAGGAAAAAGCATAACTGTTACAACTGTGGTCTCTTGTTCTGCAATGCATGTAGCAGCAAGAAAGCGGTAAATGCTTCGTTAGCGCCAAACAAAAGCAAGCTTTCTCGGGTTTGCGATTCTTGCTTTGATCATCTATGGAGTATAACCGAGTTTTCAAGAAATGTTAAGACAGAGAATCACACTCCGAGGATGCAGCTGGCTACAAGAAGGGTATCTGAGGATTGGAAGGAAAGCGAAGCAGAGAATCAGATTCAGAATCTTCCACAAGCTAATCGATCTTCGGATGGACAGCCTCGATGGGGACAAGTCTCTGTTCCTTCTCTGTTTCATTTCGATAAATTTTCGGCAAGTTCTCCTATTAATCTATCAGTCTCGGCGAGGCGACCATCTTCTACGAAGATTTCAACCTCGTCTGAGTCGAATAAGATCTTAATCGAAGAAATTGAAAGACTAAAAGCCGAGGTAAACTACTTTTTTGCTTTCTTACATGTAACAATATCAACACATTAGACACTAAAGATTATATTTATATAAACATGTAGATAAGAAATCTCCAGAAGCAGTGTGAACTTGGCAATGAGAAGATGGAAGAATGCCAACAAGAACTCGACAAGACATGGGAAGTAGCTAAAGAAGAAGCCGAGAAGTCGAAAGCTGCTAAAGAGATAATAAAAGCCTTGGCATCAAAGGTAAAGATACATAGTTATTTTAATCTTTCTGTTTTTGGTTTATTATGTGACCGACATTTTCGCGGTATCTTTGCTTGCAGCTTCAAACGAATAAGGAGAAACCGAGTAATCCTCTTAAGACCGGCGTTGCGTGCAATCCTTCTCAAGTCTCACCAATCTTTGATGATTCAATGTCCATTCCATATCTCACACCAATCACCACAGCTCGTTCCCACCCCGAAAACAAACAAATTGTAGAGAAATGTGTCACGAAATCCTCGAACCGTGACAGCAACATTAAGCTATTAGTAGATGCATCGCCTGCCATCACAAGAACAGGGTATCTCCAAAACGAAACACAAGACTCAACAGCAGAACAAGTTGAGCAATACGAGCCCGGTGTATATATAACTTTCACGGCCTTGCCTTGCGGTCAGAAGACGCTTAAACGCGTACGGTTTAGGTAAAAATGCTAAGTGTTTTTAAGTGTTTATGCGATTTGAAGTAAGCTTAAGTGTTGATGTGATTTGTTTCTTACTTTGGTTGCAGTCGAAAGAGGTTTTCAGAGAAGGAAGCACAAAGATGGTGGGAAGAGAAACAGGTTTTGGTCTATAACAAGTATGATGCTGAAGCATGAAACTAACTTTGAGTGTAATTCTTGAATGTATTTTAATTCATTTTGATGCTTGTTAGTGATTATATCTAATGCAGAAAATTTTCTTTATTTAAGAAAATATGGAAAAAAATATACTGGAAATAAAATTTTAATAAATATGATATTAATAAAAATATTTTGATGATCAACTAGGAAATATATGTGAGTGAAGAAAAATGTTGTGATTTTGAGCAATGAACCATACTTGCATAGTAATGTGAAGGAAATCATATAAGTAGAATATACCTAACATGTTAACTTCAAAGTGCCATTGGTTTGATTTTACCATTGGACCACCATACAATTTTGACAAAGTGATTTCGGCTAATTTTCCGACGAATTTATCCGATGAATTCTATCATCAGAATAACCGGATTTTGAAGTTGTTGGATATTTTTTTTAATGAGCACTATGAGATAATGTATTTATAAGGTAGAAACTAAAATCGTTTAATAAAAAAAAAGAATAGAAATAAAATTATGTATAATCAAGTCAATTCATCCCATATGTACATAATATATTATGATGATGAAACTTTCATTCCATATTCAAAACGTAATATAATTAGCTAAACCACACGTGGGTTAATATAATTTTTTTTTTGTTTAGTTCAAAGGATAAAGGTTCAAACTTAAACACAAGGATAACACACATAGGAAAGTTCAAACAATAAGCAAAAAAACTAACATAAAGCCATAACACACATAGTGGTAGGAAGGAAACACAAAACGTGATGCTATCTTCACTTGATGACTTTGAGAGGGAATATCCGAAGAGGCCACACACCACGACGTAGACTGCAACAAATTCAATGTTCAGACCTCTAATGAGTAGTCAGAGCAGTATCATGCCACAAGCAAGAGACACACAATCAACCCTTTTCCATTAATATAATCAAGATTGATCTAGCTTTATTAGCTTTATTAATATAATCAAGATTGATCTAGCTTTATTAGCAACCAGTAAACAAGGATCTTAAACAATCTACCTAAACTTCATAATCCAACATCTAAATAATCCTAATCTACCAAAATATTAGGAGTTTTTGTCACAGACAAGCATAATAGATGGTAATTCATTCAAATTATTTGCTATTTGTATTCCCTTTAAATAATACGTACAATTCTCAATGGAGACAATATATATTATTAGTTTTTATTTCATGTTTCCCAAATTTGTACAAGTTTTTCACTCCTAAAATTATTTGATTTAGTTTGAGTTTTCATTTTATTTATGAGATAACCAATAATTACCTACTCCACTTTTGTTAAATTTGATGGTAAAAAATGATTAATAAATCATCTCTTACTAATAAAAGAAGCTCATTGAGGCTTCTCAATTTGTCCACATCAATTTTTTTAAAATGTTCTCTCCAAATGACATGTCAGCAATCTATTCAATTATAAAAAACATATTAAAAGAAATTTTGTCTAAAAAAACGTTACCGAGGCCAAAAAAAATAAGAATGTTGATTATTTTCCTCCAAAGACAAAATCACTTTAAATTCTAAAAATAAATGTTGATTTTTCTTGAATTCCAATTAAAATGATTTAAATTAAAAAAATAAAATAAAATAAAATTATTTTAAAGAAACGTATTATTTTATAATTTATTTTCGAGAGAGCAAAGTCCAATTTTTAATGAGAGTTTTATAAATTTTAGGTCATATAATTTTTTATATGACCTAAAAAAGTTCAAAATTTTAGTTTTGGTAAGTATATTTAATGGTAAAATGTGTTTGGTTTTTAGCTTTAGAATGATAAGTATAAGGATAGTAGAATTAAAAGTGTTGGCAAAGAGAATAGTAGTATTTCTTTTTTAAAATAGTTGAGAAAAATGTGGAATTACCACATAAACACTAAAAACTCGTTTTAATATATAAGGGATTAGCATCTATACATAAGTGAACAATATGCTACCAATCCAATAATACAAAATTAGCATCTACACCATATTTTATGCCTAAAGAAATTTTATAAATTACATACACATTAAGTTTAATACGTTTACTGCACATATTCCCAACTAATCAAACGAGCTCAAAAAAGTATTCGAAACAAATATGTGAAAAACAAAACCTAAAAGAAAATGAATAAAAAAAATTAGTGAAAAAAATCCAAAGTTTATCTTCGGTTAGTAAAAACTATTTCTATTACATTTTTCTTTAATAAAGAATAATTCAATTTGATTTCAAATATCGCAAATAGATAGTATGTAAAAACATAAGCAACTCAAACTAATTTATATTTAGACATAGAAAATTCTAAAAAAAAAACTAAAATCAATAAAAAAACACAAATAAAATTTTAATATATCAATAGTTAGAAATATACGAGGCATAGCCTAGATTTCCTCTAGTTCATCATAAAAAAAGAAAAAAAATTCAAAATAAGAGATTGAAGAAAATTGTTATGAGTCAAAAATTTATAAAAGTAAATAATTTTGACTTTACCTTTACATAAATAGAATAGAGTAAAAAATAATCATCATGAGATTACGAAACGAATATAAATTAAATATGGGAAGCATTTAAACCGTTCTTGAACTCAAAACAAGATTGTAGAGTTATCATAATTTCATACTATCTATGCAATGAAATTCCTAACAACCAAATTGTCGTTTATTTAATATAAATTTAAGCAAATATTATGTTTAAGTTTGAAATGTTCACAAAAATCTTAATGACAAATTTTTGTGGCTAAGGAAGTAATGCCCACCTAAAATAGGTCAATTGATTTAATAACACTTTTGGTGCCACGATAAATCGATTGGGGCTATGATCAAACTGGCTTAATTCAGTTAAAGCAATGAAGTACAATTTTAAATGAAGAACTATTAGATCAACCTTATAAGAAACCTAATATAAATCTTCATAATTATCCCTTTAGAAAACCCAAAACTCAATATCTACTCAAACATGAATAGAGAAAACATGATATAGAAGTAGAATAAGAACTCATATATAATTGCAAAGAGAATAACAAAGGTTTGACAAAAACTCTTTTACAAAGCCTAAAAACTAGAACAACCTTAAACTATAAAAATCGCATAAAACTCATCTTTGGAGATGAAAGGAGTATTATACACAAAGGGAAAAAGCCCTAAAATCTAAAAAAAAAAAAATTGTTCTCAAACGCCAACTGATCGGTTACAATGTGTACTGATTGGTTACATTGGTCTTTTGTACCGATTGGTTACTAAAGTGTACCGATCAGTCATCGTCTTTTTTTTCTTTCTTCACTTGATGCTGTTTTGATCCATTTTTACTCCCAAACTCTTTTTTTTTTTTTTTTGGCAAGTGTAAAAACCTAAAAATAAACAAAGCACGAAAATTATATTATTTTTACTAAAAGAACTCAAAAATCGGTGTTAAAAGGACTTTATTACTAATAAAAATATGAGTTAACATTTCATAAATTTTCTTTCTATTCTGCAAGTTAGTATTACCCCATGTTAAAAAAATCGCTAGGCGCTAGTCGGGCGCTCGGGTCGGGCCTAGCCCCTAGCGAAGAAATCGGAGATTAATCGAGGATTAATCGGGGATTAGTTTTAGGGCTTTTTGTTTAAAACAATATATAAACTATAGTTTTGCCAAAGTTACAAAGTTATATCCGTGGTCTAGTGGTTTCTGACGAGGCGTTTACTTCTTGTCACGGGTTCAATACCCGACCAACACACCATTTTTTTCATTTTTTTTTAAAAGAGGGTAAAACGGTAATTTCTTGTATCATCTTCTTTAAGAGATTCGACTGTGAAACCCTAATCTACGGCGGCCATGAATGCTTTTTAACAAAATCAATCATTTTAATGTGTTTTTGTTGTCTTTTAGAGCAAAAACTTATAGATCTAACACATCCTAACTTAATCCAAACTTATAAAAGAAAAAAAACAGAATTTTTCTTAACAAATCCGATTATTTAACCGATTATACAAAAATCCCGGCGGTAAGGTGCCGCCGAGCGACTAGCCGCCGTGGAATCGGCCGATTTGGCCGAGTTTTTGAACGGGGGTATTACCACATGAAACTATTTGATTTAGGTGAAGTTTCAATTCATCTATAGGATATCCGTTTTTACTAGCAACATTGGTTATTGAATGTCTTTGGTACTGAAAATAAAATCGATCATTCTCTATGCATAAACGCGTTACGCATCTATATGAAAAAAAAAGAAACACGTACTTAGATATATATGAACGTGATTTTTCCAATATTACATGATACAGAAAAAGCTTAATTAGAACGTTACTGAGAATCAAATTTACACGGAAATATATAAACACAATAAAGTAAAAAGAAAAGTTAAAGTGGAAAAATATGTTGTGGGGTTTGCAATTGGCAACCGACCCTAAATGCTTTTTCCAGCTTCTTTTACATAATTTTAATCTCTTTTTGTCTTTCTTACAATTCCATCAATGATCGATCGAATTCAAACCCTTATGTTACACTTCTTTCTTATATAACTGTCTCTTTATATTCCCACTCCTTCTTCTTCTTCCTCTCCTCTTTTTCTCTCTCAAGTTCTCTATATGTTCATATATATATTTGTCTCTTCCATCGTTTGGTTCTAGCTAAAAGTGTGTTTATAAGTTCTTGAATTCCTTATAGGAAGTGGATATGGCTCCTGTTTCAATGCCTCCTGGTTTCCGGTTTCATCCAACAGACGAAGAGCTTGTCATATACTACCTCAAGCGAAAGATTAATGGTCGGACGATCGAGTTAGAGATAATTCCGGAGATTGATCTTTACAAATGCGAACCTTGGGATTTACCTGGTATATATCTCTCTTTTCTTTATTTATTATTCTCATAAAATAAAAATCCATCATTTCTCTTGTCGTGCAAAGTATTTACCGTAAACGAAGGTATAAAGTTATGATTCTGGATTGTTTTGTACATCAACATGTTGTGTCTCATGTTAAAGAAAAATTTAAATGAGACAATATAGCAACTGATAAGACTCTATCGGGTTCTTTTTTAATATGTCATAATCATTTGATTGATATGCTTATTGTAAGATCAAATTAGGATAACGAATTATAGATTCATTTTCCAAAAACTACATAATGTGAAACTTCTTTTTGAAAGGGTAACCCTAGAGAGAATAGACAGTTGATGTTCTTTCTTTTTCAAAGATTTTTAATTTGTTCCTTTTTTTCTCTAATACTATATATAATTAATATTTTATTTTAGCATTTTTTACGTACCAAGTTATGTATCTCTAGTACACGCATCGAACTTTGCATCGAACGTGAATGCTTTATCAACTGAATAATAATAATATAGAACGATCCCAACTTTATCTTAGAATAAAATTTATATGGACCCACCCTCATCTTTATTCTTTAAAAGGATTGTAATAAAACCGAGAGATGCGGTGGTGACTAGTGAGTGAGACAAATTCTGAAGACCGAGTCAAAAAAGGTAAGAAGATAGAAAAAAAAAGTAACTCATAATTTCACATGTGCTTTAGGGTTTGGAAGCTTCTCATTCACCTTCATCTTTTTGTTTTATACATAAAACAATGTTCTCTTTCTTTGTCGTTCTTTTAATCACTTGGATTCTCATGTCATGTTATGGCATCTTTAAGTAATGTGTACACATTAAGATTGCGATAAATCTAATTTCATTGTTCTCTTAATTATATTATCCTGGTTTGCTATTATTGCAGGGAAGTCCTTGCTGCCAAGTAAAGACCTAGAATGGTTTTTTTTCAGTCCTCGAGACCGGAAATATCCAAACGGATCAAGAACAAACCGGGCGACAAAAGCCGGATATTGGAAAGCCACCGGGAAAGATCGTAAAGTGACTTCACATTCGCGGATGGTTGGAACAAAGAAAACGTTAGTTTATTACAGAGGAAGAGCGCCGCATGGCTCTCGTACCGATTGGGTCATGCATGAGTACCGTCTTGAAGAACAAGAATGTGACTCTAAATCTGGCATACAGGTAAGCAAATTTTACAATGATTATAAAATTTTAAGATTCTTAATTTTATATAAACCAATGTATACACATTTCAGGATGCCTATGCACTTTGTCGAGTATTTAAGAAGAGTGCTTTAGCCAACAAGATAGAAGAACAACACCATGGTACGAAGAAGAATAAAGCAACGACCAATAGTGAACAATCTACTTCTAGTACTTGTTTGTATTCTGATGGAATGTATGAAAACCTTGAAAACTCGGGGTATCCGGTCTCACCCGATACAGGAGGCTTAACTCAACTTGGTAATAATTCGTCGTCAGATATGGAAACGATGGAGAACAAATGGAGTCAGTTTATGTCGCATGACACGTCCTTCAACTTCCCACCTCACTCTCAATATGGAACAATCTCATATCCACCCTCGAAGGTAAATTTAAACAATCTCAAAGAAATACATAATCAAAAGTGGTGAAAATGTAATATTTTGTTTTCAAACTAATCTCTTATTCATTGAATTCTCCTCACATAATAGGTTGATATAGCGTTAGAGTGTGCAAGACTACAAAATCGTATGTTGCCACCGGTTCCACCACTTTACGTAGAAGGTCTCACACACAGTGAATATTTGGGAAACAACGTAGCTAACGATACAGATGAAATGTTGAGCAAGATTATAGCATTGGCTCAAGCCTCCCATGAGCCACGAAACAGTCTAGACTCGTGGGACGGCGGTTCTGCTTCCGGGAACTTCCATGGAGACTTTAACTATTCCGGAGAAAAAGTCTCATTCATAGAGGCAAACGCGAAGGCTGTAGATATGCAAGAACATTATGGGAGTTTTAAGGAAGAAAGACTTGTTGAAAACTTGAGATGGGTAGGAGTATCAAGCAAGGAACTAGAAAAGGTAGTGATACTTTACAATGTTTCAGTTCAAAGTATTTTTGGTGTTAATATATACAAGTAGTGTTATGAAATATTAAGTTTATGGTTGATCTTGTACTTTAAATTTCAGAGCTTCGTTGAAGAACACTCAACGGTAGTTCCTGTAGAAGATATTTGGAGCTATCATAGAGATAATCAAGAACAAGAACATCAAGATCAAGGTAGCTTTCGCTTCTAGATTTCCACATTTGTATTTTTTTCTTGACATATCAAGGATTTGATTTTCTCTTTTTAGTTTTAATTGTATCTTTTTTTTTTGTTGAAGATGGTATGGACGTTAACAACAACAATGGAGATGTGGATGATGCTTTCACACTTGAGTTCTCGGAAAACGATCATAACGAGAATATTTTGGACAAGAACGATCATGACACAACGAGTTCCTCATGTTTTGAGGTGGTAAAAAAAGTTGAGGTTAGCCATGGATTGTTTGTCACAACTCGTCAGGTAACCAATACATTCTTCCAAAAGATCGTACCTTCGCAAACCGTTATAGTTTATATAAATCCAACGGGCGCCAATGAATGTTGTCATAATATGACATCAAAAGAGGAGGTTCGTGTCCGTAAAAAGATCAATCCGCGACTCAATGGAGTAGGCTCAACATTTCTTGTACCATGGAGAAAATTTATGTACGTAATTGGCTTCATTCCTATGCTTCTATTGATGCGTTATGTTCATCAAGGAGGTAACTCTAACAAAAACAGAAGCAGTGAAGGTTACTCGAGGCAGCCTAAGAAAGGAGATTGTAACAATCGGGGCACAATACTCATGATGGAAAATGCTGTAGTGAGAAGAAAAATTTGGAAGAAAAAGAAAGAGAAAAACATGGTTGATGAACAAGGTTTTCGGTTTCAAGATAGTTTGGTGTTGAAGAAGTTGGGGCTTTCTCTTGCTATCATCTTAGCTGTTTCTACTATATGTCTTATTTGAATATTGAAGTTCAATATATCATATATATGGCTTTTCACTTTTTTCTATTGTACTCCCATTTGCATGCCTAGGTCGTATTTCCTCTCTTTTGCTTTTTCCATTTCACTAAAGTCTAAACCAAACTAAATTATTCGTATTATATTTGGTTCTTTTCTGTTTCTGTATTAAGTGATATGACCTCTCCGCGGGTTGAACGATCAATCTTTTTTTATGGTTTGTTTTTATGTAAGCAAGCACGCACGTAAATCTATAGTGTATTTTTAGTATTTATTCACTATAGATATGTGAGTAAGTTTATAGTTTATTTTAATTTTTCTGTTAATTTGTTTATTACCACTATTGTTGTTTCATGTTTTGCAATTTATTTTACAAAAAAAAAATGTTTTGCAATGTATAGATCATCAAAATTTACTATAGCTATTTTGTTCTTGACAAATAATATTTAAGAATAACCTATATGGTTCAAACTCTCGGTTTCACAACTAAAAGAATGTGAATGGAAGATGACGAGAGAGAACAAAAAACCTCACGTTACGAAAGAAATCGTCTAGGTGCGTCACATAAGCTGGCCAATCTTATCGAGCCAAGATTAGCTTTACTAGTTCTGAATAATTTGTATGGAAGGCGATTGAGACATCAATATCCTCTAAAACTGAGTGAAGAGGATAGAAGCTTCATCGCTAGCATTTAACTCCTAATGAAGATCCAGCTCCGGCCCAAGAAAATTAAAGGTCCTAGGGCAAAATTTTTATTTTTCAAAAAACATTTGAACCCTTGTTAATATTTATTTTTCAAAAATGGGCCATATTTCTTTAACTTTTAATAACAAAAACGAAAACAACTCTTAAATATAATATTTTTGGGCCATTTCTGAATTTTTTTTTTTAAATAAAAATGGGCCCTTTGTAGTTAAGAATTTTTTGAAAATGGACTTGGGTCCCTGGCAGTTGCCCCTCTGCCCTACCCCTTTGGGCCGGGCCTGTGAAGATCCTTCCTATACATGAAAATCATATATGAATCCTTCCAATACTCGTACTCCCTCGACACTCTATTGATACCGGGAAATTTATGATTGATAAAATGATAATTTTGCTGCCCAAAAGGGATTAAAAACAAGTTGAATTTGATTGAATTCAATGATTCTTGTTGGAAAATAATCTAAAAGTAGTGAGAATTTCAATGGTATTTCTCAAAAGTACACATAGATTGTCCACCGCTTGAGATCAGAGCCATCGTTTGTTGCTCCTAGAAGAAGAGGGAAACAATTGCGGTCGAGTAATAGTTTTAGGGAGCCATTTCCGATCAAACCTGAAGAAGATTATAGCCAAACCTGAACAAGTAAGGTCTGATTGAAGGTGGTTCTAGACAGAAGAAATGTTAGGAAGTTGTCTGAGCTGTCAACATTGTAAGTTGTAATAACACCCCCAAACCTAGGCCATCTCTTTTTCTTTTTCTTTTTGGTAAAGGAAACCAAGCCCATTAAGAGCCCAATCTTATATCAACGAGAATGTGTGTACATATGTTTACCGTTTACGTCTCGTCGTTCACAAATCACAACATTAACATGTTCTAATCTTAAACCTTGAGAAAAAGGAAGCAAATCTCGATTCTAAGCTACCATCATCCACCATATATTAGATCGGAGCTGCCGTTTATGGTCGTGGTTGTGTCTTCAATCGAGAGTAAGTGGAGAAAAAGAGTTGATAGTTACGGATCATTAGTAAAGAAACCTAACATTCTTTAGTTCTTTTCTCATGTTAGTCTCTATTGTTGTCATGAATATTAGTGGCTCACAATTCAAACTATTTGTGTTTTTGAGTGAAAAAATAAAAAGAGAGATCAGTTCAAGTGGAAGCTTTGGTGAGCAGCTTCTCGTTAGATTTGAAAGGAATCATATCACAATTTTTTGCGTCGTTGGATAGATCGTGATGCAGGGAAAAAGCATCAACTGATGGTTTGTTGATACGAGGTATAGTGTATATGAAATTCAGGTTATAAAATGGCCAAAAGTCACTATTTTGCAGATTCAAGTAAGGCTTTCGGAGAAGCGATTCCACGCACACCTAAGCAATTTAGGACAAATCGACTATGGTTATTGACATAGGAAGTGTAAGGGAAGCTACCCGAACCTTCAGTGTCACCGGAAAAGGTAAAACCTAGCCACCTCGTTGATTGCTTGTTGTGCAAGAACCATATGAATCTTTTAATTAAATCCAGAAGCCCTAATATGCTTTTTTTCTTATGCTCCAAGTTTCAGATTGTCATATTAGGGTTTCAGGAGTTGACATAATCAAATGATTCTTGCACAACAAGCAATCAACGTGGTGGCTAGGTTTTCCGGTAACGCTAAAGGTTCTAGCAGCTTCCATGACACCTCCTCTATCAATAACCACCACCGATTTGTCCTGAATTGCTAAGGTGTGACCGAAATCTCTTCTTCAAAAACCTTACTTGAATCTGCAATTTTTTTATCAGATACTTGTAAAAACTGGGTTCTGAAAATAGTGACTTTTGGCCAATTAGTAACTTAGATTCCAGATGCACTATTATATATATACCTCGTATCAACAAACCGTCAGTTGTCGCTTCTTTCTTGCAGCAAGATCTATCCATTGACGCAAAAATCATGATCTGATTCCTTCAGATCTGACGGGACATTGCTCACCAAAACCACTACTTGAACCAATCTCTCACTTTTTTTCACTCAAAAAACCAACAATAGTTTGAATTCTGAGCCAATAATATTCATGAAAACAATAGAGAATAATATGAGAAGAAAAACTAAAGAATGTTAGGTTTTCTTACCCAACGAATCGGTGACGAACGGTGACGATTAACTCTTTTTCTCCACTCGAAGACACAACCACGACCACAAACGGCAGCTTCGATCTCAACTACAGTGGATGATGGTGGCTTGGAATCGAGATTTTCTTCTGTTTTTTCAAGGTTAAAGATTGGAACGTGTTAATGTTGTGAACGTCAGCGGTGACAACAACGAGACGTAAACATATATACACACATTTCAACCCTCATTGATATAAGAGTAGGCCCTTAATGGGGTTGGTTTCCTTTACCAAAAAAAAAAAAAAGTAGATGACCTAGGTTTGGGGTGTTTCAAACATTACCGAAATAGGTAAACTCTCGTCGCCACATCGTTTGGTTGTCTTGCAAGAATCAATTTTACCGATCAAAATCCAAAATTTATAATATCTTTTTCGAAAAGTATCTTTTTTTTTGTTGGAAGTTACCGGAACCTAGTTTTACCAACCACCTATCAAACTTTATAGCTACCGTTTTCGGCCAAGTTAAGATGCGACTGAAATCTATAGAGACACATAGACATAGTTTCACCTTTTTATTTCTATTCTTAAGAAATCATTCGTATGGAGTTAGAATTATTCATTGCCAATTTGTTAGGTTGATAAAAATTAAATGTTTAAAACGTAATGATTTTTGCGGTGTAATGTTATGAGATATGCATGCTGTTTTGTTTGATGTCAACATGCATATCTCATAACATAATTAGCATCGATACGTTTCAACAATCAATTTTTAATATCTTAATCATGAGAATTGAATAAATCTAATTCTATATGAATGAATTTCTGAGTTTCCAAAGATCATGCTTTCAAGCTTAACTTGAAAGAAAACAACTGCTAAAAAGTGTGATAAAAGGTTGGTACTACAACTAGGATTTGGTAACTTCCAGCATAAGAACCGGTTCAAAAGCAGATTAGGTTTGCTAGATTCTTTTTTATAGATATTGTTGATTCTTGCATGGCAATCAAACTATGTGGTAGCTAAGGTTTACCTTTAGCGGTGATGCTGACAACTCTGGTGGCTTCTTTAACATTTCCTCTGTTGGGAAACACCTCCCATCTGCAAGTATGACTACTACTCTTTCAAAAACTACAACTCGAATGCAAATTCAATCTGAAAATTCAGAATTTTCTGCAATGAAATTAGCGACCAACTTACTAGAGAATTTAAAATGGAGTTTACCTCTGTTTAATGAGCCATATGTATCTATGAGTATCTGACCAGAAATTGATTGAGAAAACACTTACCAGAAACTGTTGCCTTCCCCTTATTCACTAGGATCAGATCGGATCACAACAACAACAAACGGCGTCGAACTCAACCACGGTAGAAAATGGTGGCTGAGGATCGAGATTTGCGGCTCCTATAGGGTTAAAGATGGAGATGCGTTGGTGACTTATGAGGTTTTAAGTAGGAGATATAAATATGTGCCGATTATACACGAGCAACACACAACAACAGGAGGGTACTTGGGCCTTAATGGGCCGGATTAGGAAGTACAAAGTCGATCGAAAGTTTAGGTTAGTTAAAAAAGTGTTCCGTTGAGAAAATGGATCCACCAATATCATGTGTTTTGGTGAGATTATGCCTGACAAATAAACCGAACCGAATAAGAAGCAAAAAGAGCCAAACATAACCAAACCAAAAATTTGAAAATAACCGAATGGATACTAAATTTTATAACCGAATTAACTGTAACCAAATCGGTACCGAACCGAAATATTTCGGGTAACCAAAAATACCCGAAATACAATTATATTTTCAAAAATATTAGTTATTTATAGACCAAATAATCAAAAATACTTAGTAAAAATACTCGAAAATAATCGAAAAATATCCGAAAAACACCCAAAATAACTGAAATATCCGAAAATATCCAAAGCAAAAGAACCGAATGAATACTAAATTTTAAAACCGAAAGAACCAGAACCGAACCGAACCGAAATTTTAAAATACCCGAATGGATACTAAATTTAAGAACCAAAAGAACCGAAACCGAATGGAACCGAACCGATAACCGATCGAATAACAGAACGCCATGTAACTTATTATGGCTTTGACAGTATCCCTATTTTAAACATAACCCCCATTTAACCCGAGGAAGGGTCAATTGGTTCACTCAGCTCTGACGTGGTCACCCGAGTTGTTACAAAAATACAACTCCCGTATGGCCATATCCTTTAAAATTCAGTAATATTGATGATACCTTTGGTATATTTCATTAACAATGATATAATACTCTTGCAATAACCATAATTATGCATTATCTTTTACGATCTCACAAAGCTTGGAATCGAGATTGTGGTAGTGGGGATGGGATGCACGTGGTGATACGTAATGGGTGTAGACAGAAAATCACAAGAAAGCGAAAGTGCTAACTATTGAATCACAAAGTGACAAATCAAATAATAGTCGCGTGCTCTCTTCACGGGTCACCTCCTCTATTGTTCTCACATTCAATCAAAACCTCACTTTCCAAATTATATATATACATATATATATATTTTTATATTTTGTTGTGGTAAGAAATTATTTGTTTGTGTTATAGTTTTTACATGACCACAACAAGATTAAACAGCATTCAAATCGATTTTTAAATTTCTTTAACCGAACTAACTACAAATATATACATTTATTTTTTGTAAGGCGAAAATATATTCTACATTTATGAGAAATAAAAAAGGCCGAAAAATAGCTTTACTTTAAGGTAAATCTGATTATCTTTTTACCAAGAGATTTAAAAAAAAAAAAAAGACACAAGCCCCTTAGTAAGTAGAAGAGAAATAGTTAAGCAAAAAAAAAAAAAAAGTAGAAGAGAGAACCTTTGGTTTGGATTTCTAAACCGTTTTAGTTAATTATAATTTTTAAAAAATAGAACAATTATAATTGGGACATTTTATTCCTTATATTTTTTTCATTAACTTGTATAGTATGATAGTAGAAGGAGAGATGAAAATGAAGTAAAAAAAAAGTTAGTAAAATATTTTTTCTTTTCTATCTTAACAATTTCTCGTTTTATATATGCTAATGGGGCTAATGAATCAATGGTCTTTCACATGATTTTGCAACCTTGACACAGGTTTAAAAATGTTTGAACTTCCATAGGAGAGATATGGGGCTAATGAATCAATGGTACATATAGCCATTAAACTAAAGATGAATACAAACATGCATTCATATGTATGAAGAATGTAATATTGTACTGATGTATATATGGTTTCATATACATTTACTCTAAAGTAAGGAAGTCCAGTGAGGCAAATATTCCATCTGAATTCCACAATTGTTTAAAAATCAAACTAGAAACAAAAAGTACATTCCAACAGAATTTCTAGCATATAGAAAAAGATTTATTTTTGCCAAAAGAAAACAACAATAATAAAATATTTCTCTCTATCACTCTCCACTCTATCTCTCTCTGGAAAACCCACAGATATTTGTAGTGTGAATTCAAGAAGAGCCAATCTATATTCCAAAAGGATTTAGTTGATTTTGTCTTCTTTCTTCATCACCATTAACAGTGATAATGTCTTCATTGCCTTATAGTTCTTGGCCTCTGATACTGTTGTTAGCATTATGGTGCATGGTAGCTAGAGAATCAAACGGAGCTTCCAACAATGTAAAAGTTGGAAGCATTTCAAAGGTGGAAGATGCTGAGAATTTCCATATCTATTATGGACAGACTTTTAAAGTCATCAAGAATGCCATTGATGGCAAGAGCTATCTCCTTATTCAGGTTCTTGCTTATCTCATTAACTTGTGACTCTTCTATTTGTTTCCAAAATGTATGGTCTGTGTCTGAAAATATTAGGGAATAATGTAGAACACTTCTAGAATGGCGGTCCGGACAAAGTATTGTACTTCCAGGATAAAGTCTTATGTGATTCCACTTCTAAATTACTCATTAGACACTCAATCTTCTCAAGGTATGCTCTGTTTTTCCCCTGTTTCATTCTTCTGTTTAAAGCTATTCTGTTGTTTTAGATCTCTATGTTTTCTCTAATTCAGGAGGCGTTCCGGTTTCTTTCTTCGAGGTAAACATTCTTTCTTGATGATTTAAAGATTTGGTTTCATGTCAAATCAACGGTTAGCATCTCAAGAAACATAAGCTCTATACTTTTGTTGGCACTAGCCAAACAATTCTATAGAAGACTAAGATTACACTTTGGAATGGACAAAAAAAAATGGATTTAGTTTTGATTATATGCAGCTACTTGGATTACTCGGAAGCTTGAAGGGAATAACATCGGATGCGGTAGCTTCACCGTGTCTTCTGAAACTGTGTGAGGCAGGGGAAGTAGTTAAGCTTGACAAAGGTGACCAACAAGGGCAGGTACTATCTCAATTCGCGGCGCATTTCATCAGCGACACGGATCAACCTCAGACTTGCAATTTTGCAAACTTTTTTCCACTTAGTGAAGGCACACCTCTTCAGGTGCCAATTATTATCTTTGCATAGATCTAAACCTAACCAAAAGTGATAAACTTTGCACATTTTGATATGAGGTTTTGCTGGTTTTGTAATCTTGAATAAGCGAGCGGAGTGGATCAAATTCCTTGGAGCTTTTACCAATCTTGAAACTAAAGCCAATCAAGTCTATGACGCGGTTAGTGACTATTCATGCTTCTCTTTGCAAAATCTGACGACATAGCCTATTTTTGCTGTTTATAAAGTATGTTATGGAACCTTGTAGGTTAAAGCAAGCTATACTTGCTTGTCTCAAATGGCTGCCAACAAGACAAAATCCTTCAAGCCTATTGTAGCCTGGATGGGATATGATCAAAATGTTGAAATCTTTCTTCTTTTTCTCAAACTATTTTAACATTTTTGTTTCTTATGATTCAAAGATGAATGTGTATGTATGATTTCAAACTCATTGTGTATAATTTTATTTTCAAGGGATGCATGTGGAGTTTTACTAAGGATTCACACAAGCTCAAGGTACGCGTTTCAACTTCACACTTTCAATTATTCCCTTAAATGTTTGGAAACATCTTTGGAACTGAATATGACGAACACAAACACAACAGTTTGTAGAAGATGCGGGTGGTGAAAATATTGACAAGTCTATAAACAAGGTCTCTTACAATGTCTCTGATCCTGATGATTTGGAAGCACTCCATGCCATTTTATGTGTAAGGGGGATCATACTTGTTCTGCTTTCATTTTTCTGATGACCAAAATAAACTTATTTGCTTAGGCTCAAAACGTCGATTTAACAGACTGTAGATGCGGTGATCGATGAAACGCTATCGTCTGACCCTCTAAATTACACACAGACGACGTTCTTGGGGAACATAAACGTGGATGATAACACTTGTTTTGCGTTTCTTGCAAATCAAAGCATCTGGAGATATGACAAACGGGTCAGAAATGGAACAACTCTTGGTAAGAAAGTTTTAAAACATTGTTTATTTTTATGTTGATTTCCACTAAAAACCTTGTCTTGATATTTGTGAACGAGTAGACTGGTACGACGGAGCAATCTCGCAACCAAATCTTGTACTGGCTGACATTGTTGAAGCCTTGTTTCCAACGGGAAACTATACAACTTCGTACTTCAGAAACATTGCTAAGGTAACAGTCTAATATTTTGACATTCTAAAATTTAAACTCGTCATTGTGAATTTGTTTTTATAAACTCTATCCATCCTATATGGTTGTCCGAACCACTCGCTGAAGTATAAGGAATTGCTGACTAAAGAAAAACCTAATATGCTAATAAGGGATGTGATGGTGAGCCGCAAATTTGTAGCCGGCCTATAGTCTCGTACGGGTCGGCCGGTGGACTAGACGGGTCCAGTCCGTTCAGATAGTTAGTCTATCATGGGCCATGGCAAGCCCGTCATTTTCATTTGCAGTTTTAGCGCTTGACTCATTACAAACCAAGCTCGATTGGCCGATCACATATTCCATAAAGTTTAATTTGAATTCAAGAGTATGTCACTTTCATTGATTTAAGTAGCATATTTTTTAACCTTATAATTAAACATGGCAGGGTGAAGGAGTCATAAACATTAGTCCGGATATGTGTGATAGAGACGCATCATTGCCGTTAGTTCCTATAATTCCAGCTTGTGGATGATGTTCATATAATTCCCCGTGAAACGTCGAACGTATTATTTGACAATGATAGCTGTTAGAGATTTTGATCTTGTCCAAGATTATTGAGGAATTATGAAGGGAAGACGAACAATAATAATCAACTATGTTTATTTTCTTAGCTCATATTTACTTTCTTGTGTAATCAGTAATCACATATGTAATATCTTATATTTTGCGGAAATAACATACAAGTGAGTATTTTTATAAAAGAGGGAATTAAAAAAACATACAAGTGAGTACAAGAGTAAAAAGAAGGGCTTTAGACTCAATCTCGGCGTCAAGCCAACTAAGGCATGGACCTAAACATTGATAGCACACAAAAAAAAAAAAAAGGAAACTTAGGCATGGACATTGGTTAGTTCGAGTTGACTATGAAAACGCAATATTGCATCTTCAGACTAGTTACGGTTCGTTGGTTTCTTCGGATTGCATAAATTCCACCGAGTTAAACCAAATAAGACTATGGTTATCGGTTCCGTTATGGCAAACTTTGGTTTAGTTATTAAAGATCAGCCATTGATCCCAAAACAGGATCCGTCTTCGCCGGAAGAGCTATCCGAAAGGTATGAAGTTTATTTCAACCATGAAGTTCTCGAGCTTATTTACTAGAACAATGAAAAAAATACACACACACTTAATTAGCCCTTTTATTGCACGACTTAATTAGCCCTTTTATTGCACGACTATACTTTAATTTCTCATTGAAAAAGTTTGGATCCACAATTCATAATGATTGTTCAAGGGATCTAGATCCTTTAAATTTTGAAGATTTCTCCTTCAAAGATAAGAAACTTATCAAATTAATAATAAGCTGCCTGATAACAATCACTATTTTATTTAACTAGATCTTCACTCTTCAACGACCAAAAATGCCAAAAAAAAAAGAAAAGAAAAAAAGAGAGGCTTGAATTAATGAGTATGAAATTTGAGTTGAATGGTGATTCTCTAGTGATTTTCTGGTCAAGAGAGGTGGATGGGGACCTGGCGACTAAAAATTAGGTTTAGACCTGGCGACTTGACTTGAGCCGGTTCAGATTTGGCAGATATTATACTCAACAAAAGTGATTAGTCGATCACTTTAATTATTCTCAAGTGAGTCAAGTGGTATATCAGTTGATTCAGAGGTCAAGTAGACATCAGCCTTCACTGGTCGATTCTTCAAAAAATGATCGGTCGATCAGTGGAAAATGTTTATCTTGATCTTCTCTTGGGTTAGTCTTTAAGATGTTCAGTCAGTCACCTCGTTTCTTACCTAATTCTCGTTGCACTTCATCTACGCATCATAATATCATAACTTCATTACTTTAATCTTTACCTTTTGAACTAGTGGTCGAAATTACTTGAAACACCGGAAAATCTTTTTTGGTTGAAAAACCACCGACTAGTTGAAACTCAACTTCGTACTAGCTGTCCAAATTTCAATGGCAAGAAAGATTCCATTTCACAAGATCTTTTAGATGCTTTTGTATGATCATATATCATTATTTTGCTTTACTTGGATTTATTGAGTAAAATAAGGCTCAACCTTGTCAGTCAGTAGTACAGATATAACGTGGTTCGTGGATATAACGTGGTTCCAATTCTGTTGAAACCTGACCAGGAAAAGGACCCTTGCAATAATTTCCTTTCAATAATTGCCACAATTGAGCGACGGATTATTTTATTTGTATTTCCAATTTTAGCCACTTTTAAAATATACTAAAAATGACTTGTTGACTCTCATAATTTTCTATATATATAGTATACTTTTACATATCCCTTTTCCCTCACATAAACATTCATCAAACACAAAGAAGAAGTAGAAGAAGAAGAAGAAAAGAAGAAGATGAATAATTTGGAGTTATGTGAAGCAAACAACGTTCCTCTAACGCCCATACTGTTCTTGAAGAGAGCTTCGGAGTCTTATCCCAATCGAACTTCGATAATCTACGGACAAACTCGTTTCACTTGGCCTCAGACCTATGACCGTTGCTGTCGTCTGGCCGCTTCTCTCCTATCTCTTAACATCGCCAAGAACGATGTGGTATGTCACACTATCTCTCTGTCTCACTATCATTGTCCCTATTTTTCGCTAAACAATATTAGATTTTTCAGAAATATTACTCTGTTTTGTCTAGGGTGTGTGAGTGTAAGTAATGTGCATAAATATTTAGACATATGATTATAAATGTGTGTTTAGGTATCTGTTGTTGCTCCAAACACACCGGCCATGTATGAAATGCACTTTGCCGTTCCCATGGCTGGAGCTGTACTTAACCCTATCAACACTCGTTTGGACGCAACATCCATTGCGGCAATCCTCCGCCACGCCAAGCCCAAGATCTTATTCATAGACCGCAGTTTTGAGCTCTTGGCTCGAGAAATCCTCCATCTACTATCATGTGACGACTCACAGCTAAACTTGCTGGTTGTATTCATTGAGGATAACAAGTTCCCTAAAAGGGTTTCGTCTGAGGAGTTAGACTACGAGTGTCTCATCCAGAGGGGAGAGCCTACACCCTCCTTGGTGGCACGTATGTTCCGTATTCAAGACGAGCATGATCCAATCTCCTTAAACTACACATCGGGTACCACGGCCAACCCAAAAGGTGTTGTGATTAGCCACCGAGGAGCTTATTTGTGCACATTAAGCGCGATTATTGGTTGGGAAATGGGGACCTGTCCTGTCTACCTTTGGACTCTACCTATGTTTCATTGCAATGGATGGACATTTACATGGGCTACCGCGGCGCGAGGGGGTACAAGTGTGTGTATGAGGCACGTGACTGCCCCAGAGATCTATAAAAACATAAAAATGCATAGCGTGACGCATATGTGTTGTGTTCCTACGGTTTTCAACATTCTTCTGAAAGGGAATCCGCTTTACCTATCACATAGGTCTAGGCCAGTCCATGTGTTGACCGGAGGTTCACCACCGCCGGCTACTCTTGTTAAGAAAGTTCAGCTGTTGGGGTTTCAAGTTATGCATGCCTATGGGCTGACCGAGGCCACTGGTCCGGTTCTCTTTTGTGAATGGCAAGACGAGTGGAACAGGTAATAATTAATCATGTGTGCAAATTTTGACTTATATATACATTAAATTTCACGTTTCATTATCGTTTTCCGAAAATTAAAAGTTCTTTTATCAATATTATTAAGATTCTATTTCAATATTAAAAAACAAGTTTCAATTTTCGTTATCATTTACCAACAATTAAAAGTTCTTTTATCAATATGACATTCCTATTACTCAATTGAAACAGATTACCAGAGAATCAACAGATGGAGTTGAAAGCAAGGCAAGGGCTAAGCATCTTAGGACTAGCTGAAGTTGACGTGAAAAACAAGGAAACGCAAGAGAGTGTTCCGCGCGATGGGAAGACAATGGGAGAAATCGTCTTGAAAGGAAGCAGCATAATGAAAGGATATCTAAAAAATCACAAAGCTACATTTGAAGCGTTTAAACACGGATGGTTCAACACAGGAGACGTAGGTGTGATTCATCCTGATGGGCACATAGAGATCAAAGATCGATCCAAAGACATAATCATATCGGGAGGCGAAAACATCAGCAGTGTTGAAGTTGAGAATGTTCTTTATAAGTACCCAAAAGTCCTTGAGGCTGCCGTCGTGGCCATGCCTCACCCTACGTGGGGTGAAACCCCGTGTGCATTTGTTGTTGTAGAAAAGAGTGAGACTAATAATGAAGATCAGGTGGATACATTTGTGACCAGAGAGAGAGATTTGATTGAGTATTGCCGTGAGAATCTGCCACATTTTATGTGTCCAAGAAAGGTGGTGTTTTTGGAAGAACTGCCTAAAAATGGAAATGGAAAGATCCTTAAGCCTAAGCTAAGAGACATTGCTAAAGGTTTGGTTGCTGAGGATGAGGTCAATGTTAGATCTAAAATAGTTCAACAGCGTGAAGATAAACTTCGGGTTGATCACTTTACTTCGCGACTTTGAACTTATGCTTCTCCTACTTATATATATATATATGGTTGTCTATTAAGTAATGAAAAAAATGTGTTTCTCCATTGATGGACAGTCAAACATTGACCGAAAGTTATCAATTGTTACCATCTTTTTATCAACCACACATTTAAAGCAAAAATGTCGTTTGGTTACCAAATCTGGGGATAAAAGTTTACAAATAAACTTAAAACATTTCATAATTCTAGCACGAGGAGCAAAACAATCGACCCAAGTGTTTGTAACGAGGAATCTATATAATAATAAAAATATTCATTTTTTTTTTAACGTCTTTCATTAGAAAAATCAAGAATAAAGTTCACAAAAAAACAGAGTGCTAGTAAAACAGAGCAAAACAATAGAGGCCAAAACAGAGCAAAACTAGGAGCTAGTATCAACGACACTGTCTACGTTCTTCCTCGATCCGTTCATGTAGCCAAGCTGGTTCCCCCTGACGCAAGATACGAGTTGAATCTTCCTTCTCGTGTAACACTGCAAGCAATATCCCTAGCCAATGTATTGGCTTTCGGTGAAGAGATCTTGAATTTCACATACCGCATCACCTGTATTCATTTGTTTACAATTGCGTTTCGTAAAATATATGTATAATTTGTTTTAATTACAAAAATAAGAAAAATACTTTTTTGGTTGGGTCTCTTTATCTTAAAATTTCGTAAATTATATTTCTAAATCTACTTATCATAAATTTTTGTAAATAAAAATTTTAAATAAGATAAAGAAACACAACCGAAAAAAAGAGTTTAGTGTAAATTTTTAGTGATGTTAAAAAAATGTAAAGTTATGATAAGATTTCGGTTGCATCTACACTAAATAAATAAGAATATTGTAAAGTTATTGTTTTAAGATAAGATTTTAGTGTAAAGTTATTGTTTTGTTTGAAAGTACATTTTCGGTTACGTTACACTAAACAAAAAAATGTAAATTTATTAAGATTTTAGTGTAAAGTTATGATAAGTAGATTTAAATTGGAGCGGTTATTGGTTCATGGATTTATAAGGAATTGAAAATCCAAACAAAAATCATTTGTTATTCAATCATTGATTTTAAAATCCTAATTAGAATCATGTGTTATTGGTTCTATGATTTATAAATACTAGTTAAAATCCTATGTTATTGGTTTCGTTTATTTGTTTTTGGATTTGAGAATCCAAATTATGTTTTAAATGGATTTGAATGGATTTGAAAGAGAAAAATAGAAGGATTCAAATCCATGGGTACACATGTTATTTCAAAATCCATATGTCTTGATTTCATAATTAATAAAGATTTTCAAATTCTACATAGATTTACAAATCAATAAACCAATAACATTAATTTACGAAAATTATGATAAATAGATTTATAAATATAAAGAGAGGCAACTGATAGGTAGATTTTTTATAAATTAAAAATAGAAAAATAGAAAGAAGAAGATTCCTAATTTGAATATGTAGATTTATCAAACCAAAGTAGATTTTTAACATACGTTAACAAAGTGCAAAAAAAAAAACATACGTTAACCAAATTAGGAATCTTCTTCTTTCTATTTTTCTCGAGGTTATGGAAATTAGAGTTACATAAATGATTATCAAATATGTAACTCTAATTTCCATAACCTCGAGAAAAATAGAAAGAAGAGGATTCCTAATTTGGTTAACGTATGTTTTTTTTTTCACCTTGTTAACGTATGTTAAAAATCTACTTTGGTTTGATAAATCTTCATTTATTGTTGTGTCATTTCACCGTAATTTTTGTTTTATTCGTGTTTTTCATCCATGTATCACTTTGATCTTTTCCGGTGGCTTTCTTATAATGTCCCGGTCTAAAAACTTTGAAGCCTTAAATTTTTTTTTTAGAGTTTTCGTTAAATTAACACTAATAAAATTAAAATACCGGATATTGAATTTACACTAAAAGCAACTTTTTTTCTTTAACATCACTAAAAATCAACATTTATAGCCCTTAGATGCACTATAAATCAGTTTGCGGTTTTATTTTTTCTAATTTTTCACATAAAAAAAGAGATTTTTTTATCATCGTACAAAGAGAAATCAAGTCTATATGCTAGAAAAGATATGGTACTTCTCATCATCTTAAACAAAAGTTTTAGGTCCCAACTGATCTGTCGAGAACGATCCAATTTCGCTTCTTTAATTACAATCGCATGTGAACAATAAAAAAAAAATTGTGAATATGAATGGCCAAAGTACCATTTGACCGACATTTCGTGCCTAATGTTTTCTAACATGCACTTGTGTTCTTGTCAAAAACGGTATACTGTAGTATGTCTTTTCCTTTTGACATTTATTCATAAATAAAAGGCCAAACTTTAAAACTAATTAAGCGAATTAAGAACAAACAATCCAAAACCAAATGGGATAAATGAACCGAGTCAATTCAATTATTTTTCCCTATAACTCACATCTTTACACAAACCATGAACTGATTTTTTTTTTTTTTTTTTTGAATCAAATGTTAAATTAAATTCAAAAGAAAAAATGTCTTTTTTACAACAAGTGCAACTTTAGCTTAAACGTGAGCTGAAAGGAGAATAAGATTGAATTATGATAGGTTTAACTTCTAGCTTGGAACCAGACCTGGAGGCCATTGTCGAAACGTTTATCCCCTATTTTCCGAATTGAGGATAATCTATTTCGCACTTGCCTGTCAATCCATTTGATTAAGAGAGGAGCTGGGTTCGGTGTTTCACCATGTTTTCTTCCGTTTCTTTCCCGCCAGATGGTGTAGAGGGTGGCTTGAAAGACATAGCGAGCTACAAAGCTCTCTGTTCGTTCGCGCCAACCTGCCGAGATAGTGTTAAGGAGAGAGTGCCAGTCATAAGAGAATCGAGATTTGTAGAGTTTTCGTGTTAGAGCTTCCCAGATTGGAGAGATGAAACCACACGCAAAAAATAAATGATCACGGGTTTCTGTAACAGTGTTGCAGAAACAACAAGTCGCCGACGCACCTCTGTTCCATTGAAGCATTCTGTCTCCGGTGGAGAGACGATTCCAAGCAGCCAGCCAAACACAGAAAGAGAACTTTGGCGTTCCATAGGTAAACCAAACTCCTTTGTGCCAACTGACCTTGGTTACCGCAGTGCGAGTCATGTGCCATGTGTCTTTTGTTGAAAAGCTAGCTTTGTATACATCATTTTTACCTCTCCATAGAACTGTGTCCTCTTTATCATTTCTGTTCTGTTTTTTAGTTTCCAACTCTTCTTCCATTTGATTTAGCAGACCGGACCGATGTCGACGACGGCGTCGACCCTCCCAAGCTTCAGCCACTGTCTTATTTCTGCTTATACACATATCAATCATACCTCTTTCTCCCACTACTCCCAGCAGCCGGCCCATGCTTGACCAGTCTTCAAACCAAAATGATGTACTTAAGCCATTGTCCACTTCCACCTTACAGAAATTTGTTGCCAATGCTCTGAATTTTAGTAATTTCTTCCACATCCAAGAGCCCATTGTTGTGTTCTCCTTAGCAGACCAGTATGTTTCTTTCTTTAGCAAATACTTCTCTATCCATTTGACCCATAGTGAATTCCCGTGCGAGACGATTTTCCATATAAGCTTTAGGCAGCATACATCATTTGCTTCCTTTAAAGATCTTAATCCAAGCCCCCCCTCTGTTTTGGGCTTACATATATCATTCCAGGCTACTTTGGCTTTACGTGAGTTCAGTTCTGTCCCAGACCAGAGAAAAGATGAGCAAAGTTTTTCAATTTCCCGTATGCACTCTCTTGGTAGTCGAAAAGCGGATAACCAAAAATTGCATAAACTCCAAATGACTGAGCTGATCAAGTTGAGACGCCCTGCATACGACAGATACCGTGCTGTCCAAGAGCTGATTTTCTTTTTAATTTGCTCTATAAGAGGGCTGTAATCTGCAGCGGAGAGACGTTTTGTGAGTAAGGGAAGGCCTGTTGGAATTGTGAGCCTTTGATTAAACCTACAAAGAGAAAAGCTTAAGTGAGAAGAAGATGAAGAAAAGAAAAGATGCACGAAGAAGAAGAAGAAGAAGAAGATGGTGTCGTGAGAGGAGTCAACGACAAGGAGAAGTCAACAAAAGAAGGAAGTTGGGCTTTGTGTTTTATGGGCCATCGGATTGCTTAAGACCCAATAAGGAAGAAGAAAAATGGTGTGTCGTTAATCTATGTTTAGCTAGGTCTTGAGTAGAGTTGCAAGTTGTTGTTAAAGTTGTGTCAAGTGTGCAAGTATGTTTAGAGTCCCAATATGTAGTAGAGTGGCTTGTGTAAGAAGAGTCTAGAGTCTAGAGTTAATCATGTGTTTATGAACATGCTTGTGTGTGTAAGTGTGTAATAGAAGTAGTATAAGTAAGTGTGTTTGTGTCTTGTAAAATATCTAAGAAAATTATCAATGTAGACATTAAATTCTTAAACGTGTTCTTGTATTTTATGTTTAAACATGAACTAAAACAAAGAGTTATGAGAGAAACAGAGTTATGAGAGATTGTGAGATTTGAGAAAGGGAGTGATTTCAACATGGTATCAGAGCTATAGCTTTCCTTGGAGCCTGTTCAAGGAGAAGATGTCTATCTACGAAGAAAGACTGAAGAGAAGAAGAAAGTGATGATGCAACCCGAGAAGTTGCTAAAGGTGAGACGGCATAGAAGCCGTGAAGAAGAAAAGAGTGAAGAGGGAGCAAACCTGAGAAGGTGAAGCTCTACCACGGTTCTGGTCTGAGACGGTGTCACTGAGAAGACGCCGAGACTGATTCAACTGTACCAGAGCTGAAAAGAAAAGAAGAAGTAGAGCAAAGCCGAAATCTGCACGTCGGAGAAGAATAGAAGGAAAGAGGGGTGGTGACGAGAGAGATCACCATCATACCTTCACAAACGCTTCACCAACCGTAACCTCAGAGGAGGCGGGCTTCAGGTGCATCCATGGAGACGAGGAGATCTTCTGGAGAAAAGCAATGAAGACAGCGGAGTGAAGATGGTGCTGTTGAAGGAGAGTTCTGTTCTTGTTCGATGCGTCTTGGTGAAGCTTGAAGGATTCGAGGAGCCAAACAATCTAAGGCAAATAAGCTAAAGT